ACTGGTTTACCTTCAAGATATTTGTAAATACTGTACTCATTCGGTATTTTGTTTATGTCTAAAATACATAACTTGCACAAAATTAAAAACTGGGTTACAAATTTTCTTGAATGGCCTCTCCCCTTTGCCCCTCACTGGCTTAAACAGCTTTCCTGGTTAGCTAATAAATGTCAGAAATTTGGCAATTCCTTCATGTACGAACAAGAGATTATCATATCACAAAATATCAAACATGACTCTTAAAGTTTTTACAAGTAATTGACAACAGCAGTCTTTTTAGCAACTAGGCATAATTTTTATAGAGAAAAGGAACATGACTGAAATGATTAACTGGTGAATGACTAAAAGAGATTCATATTTTTAAAAGATAGATGGATTTTTCCTTTCATCTTATTTTTGTTGAAGAAAATTCATTTTAGAAAAAAAGACTTATGGAAACTTCCAGAGAGTAAAGCTTTAACTCTAATGAGATTTATCTTTAAACCTTGTACAAGCTAAGCACAGACATTAACTGTTATTACTGAAAAGGTTTTTCAGAAAAAGAGAATTTTTCTAATGATTCTGAGACTTTCCATACGATTCCTATTTTTGTGAATAAAGAGAAGACTGGAAAATACACTCATTAATCCGAGTTTTGGAATCTAGAGGTAAATGCATATGTTAATAAAGTTAGCATCTGATTAATAATTTTCAGTGTGGTTTTAAAAAAAATTCTTTTTTTTTACCTTACACACTAAGTTTTTAACAAAGCATCAGCTTTATTGGATAAGGACACATTAAATGCTGTTTACCAAACTTCTAAAAAACTTGGGATAAAACATCACGTAAGAAACTGACAAGTTACTGTAAGTGCTATCAGAAAATGGTTTGGATAAACAAATAGCATGCAGCTAAAAAAAGAACTATTTCTTTGACATTTGTTGTTATTATTTATGCCAATTCTACTGACAATATTTCTTTCATTCAAGTAGACCTTGAATCTCAATAAATGGGCCAGAATGTAGAAAATGAATGAGGTATTTGGAAAGCGTTTTTGAGCTATTGAGACAAAAGAGTTCAGAGTTCTTCCTTTGTCATACTGAATTTGAAAGTACGAAGATTATTATAAATCTTTATAATATTCTGATGTAACCTAATTTGTAGTAGCATGTGCAATTTTGATCCCTTTACTAACGTGATAAACGTTGAAGAACTTCCAAAGGAAAACCTAGTTTAACCATGTATGTAATGGTGGGAGTCAAATGCACATGTCAAAATGTTTTATAGTTATATTCAATATTTCTGTAAGCCACTTTATTATCAACTTATGCCAGTAAACCTGGCATCAAAGCATAGTTAATAAACAAAATTTTCAAACAAGTTTTAATTTCAAAGTAAAATATTTAAATAAATTCTCCATCATTTCTTCTATGCATCATGTCACACTTGTTATCTCCCAGCTGCCCATTTAAACATTCTTTCAACTCTTATTTCAGTTTCTGATGCAATCTAAAATTATAGTCTCTAATCATCTTGATTTACAGAAGTATAACCCAGAAAATTACAATCTTATCATATACTGTCTTTCAACAAATGTAATTCTCTCTTACATTACTTATAGCCAATAAAGAAAGATTTTAATTAACTAAATTATGTAGAATGCTAACTTGTTCTAGACAGATTTTAACTTATTCAGCCAACAGATTCAAAGTTGCTATCTCCAAGTTCAACTGCCACAACTTAGTTAGAAAGCCAGTTAAATTATGATAGTTATAGGACATTGTATTCTTCCAGTGTTATTGTGTTTTAGGGTTAACTTTTATCAAGACTGAGATCCACATGTAAGTACTTAAGTTCTTGTCTTTAATTAAATGTGTTTTTTATTTATTGTTATAAGAAGAACTCAAACGTAAAAATTAGAAACTTAAGTTTGGTGATTTCTTGTTTCGTTACATGGGTTTAGTAGTTACACATGGTTCAAAGAGCAATAAAACAACCGAATTAAATGTGTGTTTTTTATTTATTGTTATAAGAAGAACTCAAACGTAAAAATTAGAAACTTAAGTTTGGTGATTTCTTGTTTCGTTACATGGGTTTAGTAGTTACACATGGTTCAAAGAGCAAGTTTGGTGATTTCTTGTTTCGTTACATGGGTTTAGTAGTTACACATGGTTCAAACTTAAGTTTGGTGATTTCTTGTTTCGTTACATGGGTTTAGTAGTTACACATGGTTCAAACTTAAGTTTGGTGATTTCTTGTTTCGTTACATGGGTTTAGTAGTTACACATGGTTCAAAGAGCAATAAAACAACCGAATTAAATGAAAACAGATGTAGACTGAAGTTGTTTTTCTGTTACAATCTGAAATTATTCTAGAAAGAAAAATGGGTATTTTAGATTTATTTCACATTTTTCATGGGTATTACAAGACTGGCGAGATGGACCGAGCCCAAGACAAGATATAAAGTTAATACTTTACCAAATTCTATGAAGCTAGATTAAGCACATTTCGGATCAAAGAACTTAGAGCAAACGTTAATTTTCCAATATAGGTTTAGTCCAATGGATCTACCCTGTTCATATGACATTAAGAAATCTTAGTTAGGATGAGGAGTTTATGGTTTTCAATAAAGTGTAGATGAGATTTTATGCAAATGTTTCAAAATTGTCTGATATGTTTGAGTGGTGAAATGAAAAATTTGAAAGTACGGACTTCATAAGTGATAAATATAACTTCAAAAATCCAAACTCTCACTTTTTCTCAAACAAGCCTATTTCTCCATTACGTTATAAAATTATGGGAGGATTTACCTGATAAAGTTCAACTTCCTTCAAACACCTTTTGATTTTACGAATGTAAAAGGCTACATTAACTTTTATCTCACTAGTGCTCATAAAGTAAACAGGAAACACCAGTCTTTTGTCTGGCCTTCTGCTGCCTTGTTTTTTTTAAGTGTTCTAGAATAAATAACATTTATCCTCATAATATAACATTTTAATTTTTAGCATGTAGGTGTAAAAACGGTTTTGGAAATGCATAATGACAGGTTTTAAAATAGAGTATCTTTTAGTGTTATTTTCACCAAGACAAATCATCAATGAAGGATGCAAGTATCTGAAAAATAATTTTGCCGACCAGTGTACTTATAGATGAGTAAAATATCAGAGTTTTGTTTCAAAATGTCTTGAATATCAAATTTTATCTTGTATATTCATGCAAGTTTTGCATGACTGAGTATACAAAATGTTTCAGTCAATGTTCTTGTGTATCATCTTAAACTTTGAATCACTTACTAGTAAAAGCAAATAATTTTTTGGATATAACATCAAAATAAACACAACTGTGTTAAAAGATAGATTATACATGCCATAATGTCCTTCACTCACCACTACCATCACAAGTGTAATTATAAACTAAAATAATTCTTAGACGTACATACATCTTGAACCACTTCCATATGAATGCTTGTAAAGCAATATAACTAACCAAATGTCATAAAGCTATTATCCCTTTAAGCTCCCTCATCAACTTTCCAAACATCAATTCTTAACTTTAACGGAAAATTAATTTACGTTTTTCAAGTATAAAGTCTGTTCAGCAGAAAAGTGAGAAGAAACATAATTATTAAGATTGTTTATAATTTAAATGATTCAATGTTAACTTTCACAAGACAGATTTCTTGTAAAACAATGTTTGAAAAACTATTTTTAAACACCTTTTCTAGAAAATGTACGTATTACACAAATTATGAATTCCTGTATACACTGTTGTTTTATACGGTTCGTTCAACTTTTCAACTAATGCCTTTCTTTAAAAATACATGATATACTCTTATGCAAAACAAACTAAGAATAAAACAGCAGGTAAAATTTCGTTATCAAAATATCTAGCAGACCCAAATTTTGTTTGAAGTTGCCACAGTTATTTTGTTTGGCCAAATGGCTTTCACTTACTTTCTTGGTTATGCAATTCTGTTCAGTTAGTGAAACCTTGATATTATAAACAGCCATAAGCAGGAATCCAGTTTTTAATGTAGCAGAACTAATATAGACATTACAATGACCAAAGTAATGTAGTAACAACTATAGTAACACAGAAAACTTGCCCGTGTTTTTCATCCCTACCCAAACTTTTACCTTAAGCCTTATATATATACCAAAAATTGAATACAACATCAGCCAATTTTTTGATGTATTTACATTCTAAAGGAGTTCTTTCTCTCTCTTGTATTGCAACACATTTTTGGTACAAAAAAATAGAGTTCATGTTCCACTTTTATTTTGATTTATAATATAACTAAAATCACAACAAATAAGCAACTTATTATAAATTAATTACTTTAGGTAACTGAGATACTTAAATAAATTCAGCTACTATTTTATGTAATTAGCTCAAAGTTTTTGACCTGTGATATATCACTAACTCATAAATTTGCTTATTCTTTAGCTTATCTGCACTAAAAGATGTTCATTCCTTGTTATAAACTATAAAACCTAATCCAATCCATCAAAAAATTAGGAAGAAACCATTTCTTTTCTTTCTATCTACTCATACAGTTATTACTAATGAACACTTACAATTTTACTATAATAATAGTAATAGTATATATATAACGCTCAATATGAGCTTATAACAGGAATTTTTGTATATATTTCGTCCCAGAGATGTAGTTAACTTGCTAGTATAAATATATAACATCAGCCAAAACCGCAGTATAAGTAGAAAGTACTGGTATTTTAATTTTATAAAATAAAAAAATATAAGAAAAACCTGTCGACAATATACACGAATTTGTTTTAATTTTGCTGACAAGAAATTTCTGAACCCAAACACCAAAACAACGCTTAGAACTTCAGTATTGATGTTCTAATTTAAACTATAAAACTAAAACTTATCCGAGTAAAAAAAAATCTGCTTACATATTTTCGCTCCGCTCGTATGTGACGATTACGCTTACGACTTGTTTACAACATAACTTACAAAAGACTAGGTTTAGTAAAACATGAAAGAATGGCACTTACGGTTGCTCTCAGTAGATACACGAAGTAGTCGAATTCAATCTGCAACAATGTCAACCACAATTAGAATATATACTGTGTATTAAACTAACCTAAACAAGTACCAGTGAATGACTTAAAAAGTAAAAGTTCTGAAAAAAAGATTATTTTAGTTAAGATTACTCAAGCCTTCGGAAGTTCATTCAGAATATCAACCTTGCTTTGCCTTCGGTACGACGTGGCACACAAATCACGAAAACAACGACCCAACCTAATAATAACGTACAACAGTTTTTGCTTGTTTACAACATATTACTGTTATCTGTGAACAGCAGACTTTTCTTTCCGTATTCTCAGAGAAGAAAGAAATATGTAAGTATGTTACTCACTGTCAGAGAAAATTCGACAACCAAAATATGACGACTACTAGTACTAATCTTTTAACAAAAAAACACGACCTAAAGATTACCAAATCAATCATTTACGCACATACCGCTGAGTGTAAATAACAGTTGTCGTTGATTGGTCAACTAACCATGGTCGATTCCATTCAAGTAGGATGAACCGCAGTTGTGTGAAAGAGCAAAATGTTTACATCGTACAAACATTTGATCAAAAGAGGACGCAAGAGAGCCAATTAAAATAAAGTGTCACCCTCTTGTGACAGAACAGTTAAGTGCAATCTAAAATATGTTTATTTATTACCATTTTGTAATTGCTCGTTTAAATAAAAACAAGAGTTGTCCTGGAAACATTATTCTGAAACAAGTTCTGTAAATATTAGTCTTTATGTAACCGTCAGAAAATAATGTTTACCAATCATCTCTGCATTTTATGCTGCGATATTTAAATAAGACTATAGTTATTTTAATTTGTTGTCAATTTTTAATTCGTTTTGCCCTTATTTATTTTGTGGGTCGTCCTAGATAATTAGTTAATTCAAGAATAACCAGAGGAATGTAATGTTGTTGTTTGTTATTGAGCCTAAAGGGCTATGTGTGCTCTGCCCACCACGGGTATCGAAACCCAGTTTCTAATAGTATAAGTCCGCTGTGTCACTGGGGGGCAAATGTAAAGTTCTAAAAATGTTATCGGAGTTCGAAACTCATACATACGATTTGTTTGTTTGTTTGTAATTAAGCACAGAGCTACAAGCGGATATCGAAACCCAGTTTATAGCGTTGTAAGTCCGCACACATACTGCTGTGCCACCGGAGGGCTCATAGATACGGAGTGAAAAGCGAAAGTTTAGGTTTTATAGTGAAGCGACAATTTTATTCCAGTTCATTCCATGTAATTTTGAATCCTGGAGCTTCTAATATCTTTCTAATTCTTTGAAAGATTGATTATATTTTAAATTCACTTTTTCTCTATGCCACTCACTTAGTTACCTAGCCCCGAGCTCCCAACATATATAAATAGCTCAGCGTGTGTGTTTTGTTATAGAAAAGCCATAATATGCTATCTTCTGTGTTCATCGATGTAAACCGAACCCTGATTTGTAAATCCGAAGAGTTATTGCTGTCTTATCGGGGGACAAATAGCTCAGCGATAAGTCTGAAGCCTGAGGACTTATAATGCTCAAAACCGTATTTCGATACCCGCGGTGGCAAAGCACAGATAATCCATTGTGTATCTTCGTACTTAATAACATACAAACAAAATTAATCACTGATTTTCGAACCATTACAGCCTAAGGTATGGAATAAAAATATATACATTGGCTTTCTTTTTTCTCAGTCTTCATACCAACACCCACACCTTTTCTATCCTATAAAAAACACCCATATCAATTGTAATTTAACTATCTCGAAATAAGTACCAGAAGTTGTGTTTGTTGTAGAAATTAATAATGTCTATGTGATGAAAACATTTATTTTGGGGGGGGGGATGCATGGGTTGCACTCCATCTAAATCCGGCAATGTGGGTGAAGGGCTGGAATATCGTTTCTTTAGTAGTATATCTTAATATCTATAATGACAGGAATATTATCATAATAACATACATTTAAAAGTTTAAAATGTTTATTTTTTAGTGGGACTATAATTGTTTAGTCGTGTATCTTGTGACATTTAATTAACAAAATTCTTAACGAAGAATGGTTTGAAATTGTTACGTCAGCGGAAGTCACGTGACGTTGATAACACGTAATGAGTATCTAGAAAGATCGAGGAACCTGTCGAACGTCCTAGTGTTTGCTAGACTCGCGCTCTTATAATATATATGCCGGCAAATAAAGTGACGGCAACAACTGAATTGCAGACAGAGAGATATAGAGACAAATAATCGAGTCAAGCCGTAAGAAAAATGCGTGAATCGTTGTGAATTCTAGCGTGTGTTCAAGTTAAAGTGACTGTGGAAATTAAGTGTACTGCAAAGTTGAATTGAGAAAGAATAAACTAGTTTTATTTAAGAAAGGACTTGTATCACTGAAGTTCTTCGGAAAGGATTTCTACGGAAAATTAACAAACGAACACAGAGACGTAACAAATTGGTGCCAGAGAGTGGGACGGAAAAAGAAAAAAGATTAGAAACGTGAAGTGGCAAGTCAAACTACGACTTAGTAGATTTGATGGCAGCAATACAAGAACAGCAAAAGAAACAAGAAGAACTAGAAAATAAACGAGAAAGAAATAAGAAGAGAGACAACAGCAGTGGCAAGAAAGCCTGCAAAAGTGGCAACTCCAACAGCAAAATAAACATGAGAGATTACAGCAGTTGTTGGAGGAAAAAGAAACAAGAAGAACGAGAAAATAAACAAGAAGAGAGACTACAGCAGTGGTTGGAGGAGAAAGAAAATAAACAAGAGAAAGTCTCCAACAGTTGAGAGAAAGCCAAATGGATAAGATTGGTAAGTTTCAAAGTGAATTAATTACCTTAAAGGACGATTTACTGTCTTTTACAAGAGGAGGATACATTAAACATCGACTTAATCAGCCCCAGACAATGGCAAGCCCCCTTCCAGACCCCGCAGACATCTTCAGTCCTGTTAGAAGTCACATCCCAGATATGAATGTCAGCAATAGAGGTTATCTAGTACAAAGGAAGCCACAGGAATTCGATGGGAAGGTACCATGGGAAGCATATAGAGCACAATTTGAGCTACTGGCAGAGATGAATGAATGGACAGAGGAGCAGAAAGCAGTATATCTGGCAACGAGCTTGAAGGGACAACCACTGGAAATACTTGGACAGTTGTCAGCAAACGACAGGCACAACGATAGAGCACTGGTAGCTGCTCTATAGCTCAGGTATGGAACTCAAAATCAGTCCGAAGTCTACAGGGCTAGGGTTAGGACTAGAGTCCGTGCTAAAGGCGAGAGCCTGCAAGAGCTGGCACAAGACTTGGAAAGTATGGCACACAAGGCCTACCCAACTGCACCACCTGATCTCCTCAAGTTGTTGCTGATGGAACAGTTTGTAGATGCCTTGGACAGTCCACAACTGAAGATACAAGTGAAGCAAGCACACCCCTCTACCATGCAGGATGCAAGGGCTACAGCTCTTGAATTCGAATCCTACATTAAGTCCAGCACAAAGGTACCGAGGTTGATACAGTCATCAAGATTCAAGGCCAGAAAAGGGCAGCTTTCAGACAAGTTTGAAGGACTTTGCTGGCACTGTAACAAACCAGGGAACAAGGGAGCTCAATGCTGGAACTTCAACACAGGAAGATGCCACGGCAGGAAGGC